CACAACAATGAAGTGGGAGGAAAATTGTGGGAACCAGATAGTAACTTCAGGTGATTTCAGGTGCTGTCAGAGCCCCATAAAGAAACTAAGAAGCTGTGGAGGGTGCGGCGGTAAGAAGGGCTGCGAGTAGAAAGGCTGAAGCGTTTGGATGGAGATGTGCCTGAGCTTTGGGGTATTTCACTGCAGGTGTTATCGCCGCTTCAGGCTCTGCGGTAGGTTCATGTGCACTAGAGCAGGCTGAGACCCCAGGCAGCACGAGGAGCTGGTGGAGCTGCTGGGAGGCACTTCCATGCCCCRTGGCCGGGAGCCACCACAAGCTGTGTGGTGGGAAAGGCAGCCTGAAGCATCATGTTCATCCAATAAACACGCATGGTAAACCCAGCACTTCCAGGAGATGGATGGACCACAGTGGACCAGTAGTCAGGTCACATCTTGTCAGCGAGTGGATTTGGACTCCTGAGAGCAGCTGCAGAACAATACAAGTTTCCCCTTCTAGTCTCCACCTGTGGAAATGTCTTCGGTTTCTTTCCTGTGGCTGGTTAATATGTCAGGTGAGTAAAGCCTTTCGCCTGAYGCAGGGACAGGATCAGACCCTGGTGAAGCAGATCTCTGTCCTCCTCGCTGCTTGCCYGCTGCTGCCCGCTGCTGCTTTCCGCAGCGGGTGAAGCAGGGMTGCCTCGGCAGAAGTGCCCGTGGGATTTCTGCCTTCACCCATTGCCTTGCTTTGGGAGCATGTCTGTGCTGCTGCAGTGCAGGGACGGAAGTTGTGGTGTGTGGAAATGTGATGGAAGTGCATCTGAAACATTCTGGGAGTAACACGGGCAATTGCTAGCTTAACATCACTTGAGTGTTTAGACTGGATCAAGTGCCACTGCCGTGCCTTTCTTTTAAAAGTGCCAGTTCTGAAGTTTGTTCAGGGGATGTCCAGCTTTAGGCAGATGATAATTTACATTGGGTTTAATGAAAGTGAGGCATGTGCCTTAATTACTTTGAAGGAAGCTGTCAGCACTGCAAGGAGTGGGACTGCAGCGTGTGCTCCTGGACCTGCCAGCCCTAGCCCGCTACACACGCCATCCCGCTGCCTTTCTTTGGCAGAAGTCTGCAGTGCAGGAAGATGCAATTTTCCTGATGCTGCCTGTTCTGCCTGGAAACTGACTCTGCTTTTACTTTTCCCTGCTGCCGCCTGCTCCTCTCCCTCTCTTGTTACTGGATTAGTCTTCAGCATAAGCAGCTGCGTGTGCTGCCCTTCGTGCAGCCTGAACGACGCTGTGCAGGCGAAGGATGGGGGTGAGAGTGAGACTATGCAAGGCCAGCATGGCCACAGGATGGTGCCCAGCTAATAAAGCAGTTAATAATGAAGATATAGTAGTAATAAGCACAAGATAGAGTAGTAATAAGCACACGTGCAAGGCTGCAGATGACTGCTGCTTTGGTTTGAGAGCTTCTGCTGAAGGCTCTGCCATCAGTGTTTACTTTGTAGCACTKGAGCCAACCTTCCTTCTATGTGTCAAACTAGGCTGCAGCAGTCCTATCGGCATTGAAAGTGTGTGTGCGTGAGSGTGGTTTAATCTTTGGTGCTAATATAAGGATCTGTGGTTAAGATGAGAATAATTTTCTTAAGATTCTGTGCAAATGATGTAGCTGGGTAACATCGTTACTGTAAGAAGCAAGTGATAAGAAACTTAGAGTAAGTACCGTGATGAGCCAAAACCTGTCATCAAAAGCCTGGATTTGCTGTTACAAGCATGTGCAGTGATTTGTTTATTTTTTGTTATTGTTTTTTTTTCTTTGGCAATGAAACTTATTTAAAATTTAAATAGAGCTGACATYATGTTCTTCTGACCTAATTCTCAGGCTTTTGCATTATTACTGAAATGATTTGTGATATTGTAATGCACTACAGTGCAGAGYGGCACTCCTAAGGAAGATTGATACAACACTGGTGTTTGAATAGGAAATGGAGCGTGGCAAATGCTAAGATAATACTGTGATCCTCAAATGTGAAGGGTTGTATGCGTAGCCCCTGGRTGGAAAGCTGTAGTTTGAAATAACCTGGGTGAAAACTGCCTTGTGAAAAGCCATTATATGTTCTGTTTGTTGCTTCGTGAGCAAGGGAACTGGGKTTTTTTTGCCTCTTTTTCTTTAAATATTACCTGTATAGTTTGCATATTATGAGATGCCCACAGTTTGCATGAACACATGTTGACTTTTATTCTCACGGGCAGCCAGAAGTCGTCAGGCCCTTGCGGAACACRACAGACTTTCACCGCCAAATTCAACTTGCTGCGTTCTTCCTTGGGGGCAGCTGGCTCCCATGACAACTCCACRGCACATGGTGCACGTCCAGCCCCTGAGTTTCCCATAACTTTGTCCTTGGGATGACACCAGTGGCATTTTTCTCATGATCTTTACAAAGAGGGGAGAAAAAATGTGGATTTTTTTGTTTGTTTGTTTGTTAAGTGTGAAATGTCATTTAGAAAGCACCCTGCCCTTAGACCTCCTGGGTTTGTGTTTGCAGGAATTGCAGCTTTGCTTTTCTAGGAATATTTTAAATGATCACAAATGCGTTCCTTTGTTTTGAACTGCRTGAAATAAAGGCCTCATTTTACGAGTGCAGCTTCCCTTTAGTCGCCTTTCACCAGAGTCAGCCCGTTGGCTTTAACCCAAGGGCTCCCCAGGTGCACCAGCCTGCCTGGTCACAGMCACCCTTTGCAGCCCCTCTTGGGCAGTACAGGAATTATCCAGATGCTGCCTGGGCTTGTCCATCCGCTTGCAGCAAGGATGAAGACAAAGCTGTTTCCCTGCTGCTGCTGGGAAGGCACTGGGGACGAGTGGAGTGTTTTATCTTACTGTAGCTCTGCATGTGATTCTAGAAATTTTAATGCCTTCTCTTGAGAAATGACGCTGTTAGAAAGCAGACGTGTCTCTCCAGTGCAGAATTAGCCTGTGTTTATGCTGGGATCCATTACCACGACCCACCTGAGGARCCTGCAACCCAGGCTGACCCTTGGGGTTCAGCATTGGGCTATTGAGGCTTCATTTCAGCCTCAATGGGCAGCCCATGGGCTGCACTTTTAAAAGTGAAGAGCTGACAAAGTCAAGAGCTTGGTCAAGTCAGCTGACCAAGCACGGCTGATACTCTGTCATTGCCATGTCCTAATTACTGCTGCTTTACTCTTGTGTACTTGCAATCCCCACCTGTAGTCCTGCGTGTCTGCAGCCTTCTGTGCTGCACCGCTTGCGTGGCCTTGTCAGGAGGAATAAGCCTGGGCCTGAGCTTGTGGAAAGCAGATGCCGGCCTTCCTGGGCGCTTGTGCTCTGGCATCTGCAGACCTGTAATTGGGGAGGTGTAGCAAAAAACGAATTAATGTCTAGTGGGCAGAAAAGAAACAGAAAAGGCAGCTAGGCACACAAGGAATCGTTTTGGTCTGCTGCGGGGTTTGCCTGCCAACCGTCTTGGTATGGTCTATGTTAGCAGTAGGTAATTCCATTTGGAAATTACCCTGCACGCCGAGTTATTGTCATGTTGCTATTGCAAACAGCAGCTCTGTGCAGGGGGGCACGCGCTCCGCGTGCGTTCATGGAGCAGACAGGTGAAAACATGGTGTTTCCCACAGGAGATCTGTCCCAGCAGGCASAGCAGCCCAGACTGTGTCTTTGTAGTGAAGTTAGAAGGTCTGGAAGATCTTGAAGATCTTCTTATCTTGAAGATCTGCTACTGTCTTTACTTAAATGTTTGCTAGATTTTTTCTGATAGCTTCACTTGTTTGGCTCAGTGGCTTACAGCTTCTCGTGCCCAGTTATTTTCCATTGAACTTAAGACTCTCTCTGCATGTGAAGCCCAGAGAAAACCCAACCTCGTGCCTTCACATCAGGCACAGGTTTGGTGAAATCTTTCTCATTTGATCAGGAAATCTATTTGCTTCCATTTTTTTTTTTCCTGCTAGATTGCAGTAAATTAAGATCTGACTTCTCCATTCAGGTAGAAGTGGTGCTCCCTTGTTGTCTGTTTGTTGCAAATATTTAGCATTATTTGGATCAAGGACAAAGGCTTCGGGTCTATAATAGTTCTACAGTGATATTAAATGGCATCTTAAGTGGCAAATTTGTGTCATATATTGTGGAAAAGAATTTTCAAGTCAACCATGCTGCAGTCCAGAACCAACCCTGTATTCTCAAGGGAGCAAAATAAGAACAGTGAAATGTGCTTTTTATAAAATAACAATAACCACCATCCTTTTTACGTTTTAGGACTCGAATTTTTGTGAGAAAAGGAGTACAGATGCCCTACCTGCATGTGGTTTGTCGGTGTCCTTTATTAAACCACTAGCTAGCCTGTTTTCTAGCCTTGGGGTGATGGCAGTTACAGGTAGGAAGGACATCTGCCCAAAATTCACCTACCAGCCTGTGTTTGTTATTGCAGAAGGTGGCACTGGTTGGAGTCGGGCTTCGCTCTTGCAGCAGTCCCGACCACTGCTGTCAGGATCCAGGAGTTCTTCTCTTTCCACACAGTTGTTTCCTGTCTCAGTGACATAGGCAGGTTTGGGAAAAGTTCCTCTGATATTTCATTTCTAGTAGCCAGGTGAATTACTGGGGAAGAGAAATCATAAGTCTCCCTTAAATATGATCTATTAACATGCATCTCTGTAAGCTTGGATTTGATAGCTGCAGGGGGATAAGTGTGATGAAACAGAAGATTTGGCATCATATGATTGTTGTTTTGTTGCATTGGCACCATGTATAAATAACTTCTCCCTTCTTGTTTTGTTTTTAATGCCCAGCTTCCACTGTTAGGCTGTCAGTGTTCATGCGTGCTACATGTCAAGTGCTTGGAGGCCTCTCTACATCATTAGCTTCTTGTGCCCAGTTACCTAAGTGCCACAAATGGGAATCAAACAYTCCTTTCTGAGATTTGCGAGCAGAGCTTTGCAGCCTGCTTAGCTTCTGCTTGGGGAGTATCTTCTTTGTGATTTAAAGTCTGCTTTTGCTCTCTTCCTCAGGGCCTTTTACAGATGTCGTCACCACAAACCTGAAGCTCGGCAACCCTACAGACAGAAATGTGTGCTTCAAAGTTAAGACCACAGCACCACGTAGATACTGTGTAAGGCCTAACAGTGGAATTATCGATGCAGGAACATCAATTAATGTTTCTGGTAAGTCGTTCAAGCAGGTTTGGAGGAGTCAAACAGCTTCATTAAATCAACGATTTCTTGGAATGATTTGCAATTGCAAGGGTTTTGCTGAATGCTGGTAAAAGCAAGAGCATGTGATGTGAAACAGCTGCTTCATGCCTGTTTTGGTTTTTATGTTTTACATCCTGTTTTGGGGTTGGACAGGGGGAAGGGAGAAATACATAAATGAGTTAGAGGTCCTAATAGTCTTAGTCAGTCTGTCCAGGTCAGTTCTGCTGCAAACCAGTCCTCCCCATGGGTTTATTTTTGTAGAGTTAGATTTTTATTTTCCTTGGTTCATATATGTGTGTGTGTGTGTGTCTGTCTGTCTGTCTGTCTGTCTGTGGGTTTTTGTTCATTTTTTGATTTTTTTTTTTCCCCAACTTACCAACATGTGAATGAAAGAGTAGGACTGGGTGGACTGCAGCTTGGATTGGTGTAGACAGTTGCTAAACAGCACCCAGTATTTGTGTTTGGTGCTAAAAAAGTTAAGTGACTAAACCTCTGCTGTTCCATAGGGAAAGTTAATGGTTTTCTTTTTCTTTAATGAGTCAGTAGCTCTTGATTTGGCTAAATGCAGTAATGGAAAAGCAAAGGAGTGGCTTACTTTGTATGCCTGAAGTGAGTATTTCCCATAAACATGGAGAAGTGCATCATTCCTAACGTACTTCGTGACTCACATCACTGTCATAGCCCATGGGAAGAAGTTCTATTATAAAATTATATATGAATTGTAGAGTTGCTACTGCATCTAACTAGYGGCCTCAATTAATACTGAGAATTTCTATTTTAACTTTCTCTTTCCTTGTGGGTTTTCTAGAAATACTTTCTAGAAATATTAGAAATAGAAATCTAATTTTTGTTTTTTGTTGTTTAAAAATAATACATTCTGTCACTGAAGTTTCACTAGATTTATGGGACTTCTCTGGTCCATGTTTCTGGTAGCATAACTAACTCTGTTAGAAAGGTGTAAGATGAGCAAGCTGCATAAATAAACCTTAATATTTCACTTAGGAAAAGGGTTTCTGTAAGCATGCCGGTTTTTAGTAATTTTAATATTGGTTTAACAAAAATAGGCAAGATTTTGGCCTGTGGAAGTCCGTACCAGCAAGCTACTTCCTAATAGGATTTTATATTTTGTCATTAGCCTCTTGCCAAACTTGTCTGTCCTGGAACTAATAGTTTGGGGAACTAAAAACAACTCCTCCTGTAAAACATAGAAATGAAAAAATCAGGACTTTGATCTTGGCAGAATACWATGTAAATTATTTAAAATCCTCATTCTTGGAAAGTGTGCTTCAACAGAATAAAACTTGATCCTGAAAATAATTTGCACTGTAATACAGTGAGATTCTAATGCTGTGAGTTTTCTTGCATGTGTTTACCTCGGTCTCTGGACTCCTCCTGTGTCAAATTGAGCGCGTGTGTGATTGCCAGGCATCCCTGGAGGATGTTGCAGAGGGAGGAGATGGCCAGTGCAGTGCAAAGCAGGGGACAGGCCCTGTTTGAAGCYGTTCTGCTTCAGAAGAAAGCGAGCTTGTATGCAGGAAGCTTTGAAATGACTAATATGTAAATGCAATACAAGTCTCTAGAGAGGAATTGAGATTTTTTGAACCTCAGTACAATCCCCAAGCAGAGCTGTCTGTCATCTCTACTAGCTTCGGGCAAGCATGTTAAATGCATACAAATCAATGAGGTGATAAAGAAAATTAGCACGGTTTCTAGCTACAAATTATCTTTATGCTGTGTGGATTCCTTTCATCTTTCAGATGAACTTTGAAAATTAAAGACTCTCTTCCTTTGCTGGTGCGTGCAGTGCTTTTATAAATGTCACTGTGAACTCAGCTTGGAGTGTTTTCTTAAACCTCTGCTTACAGTGACCCTTARCTCTACCTTGAGCTGCACACAGAGTAGTGAATAGTGTATGAACCCTGTATGCTGTGCTAGCAGCCTGCCAGCATCTTACTTGCTCTCCATCTCTGCTCTTCCCAGAGACACACCAGATAAATTACAGATCCGATCCAAGAAATGAGCTAACAAATCCCATTTTGAGATGTTGCTGTGCTAACCCCAAGTTATGCTTTGCTCCTACCTATATGGCTTTGAGAAACTTAGCTTTCTGATAACTCCTTTGTAGTGATTTATGGTTTTGTTGATTTTTTTTGAAGTTGCTTTGCTGTATTTTATCACAGAGATCACTTTTAAAGTGTTTGAAATACTTTCCTGCTGATAACAGCTTACTGATGATGAATGGCTACCYGAAAAGTCCTTATATTAACATTACATAATAATATACAAGCAGTACATACCTAGTTCTCTAGATAATATATTAATCTAAATTTATAGGTAGGTATCTTACTGAATTCTGGGATTATAAATGTTAACTCTTCATTTCTTAAAAGCTTCAAAATCAGTGCTGCCTTCGGCTGTGACTGAATGTCTTTTTAATGGAGCTGTATGTGTTGCATTCCTGGTAGTTGCATTCCTTTCAGCTGTGCTTGGGACCTAATGTGGAGCCTGAGAATGGCACTGGTTTTAGTTCTGATATCCAAAAAGGATCTTTAGGATCGACAGGAGGGATTGAAGTAGAGCTCTTTCATTTACGGACTGGTGTTGTTTTCAGATTCACGGTGAGGGAGTTTGGCCTTTGCTAAAGGCAATGAGTAACATTGCTCAAGAAGAGAGGACTTATTTTGGATTTAATAAAGTAAAATATAAGTATTTTTTTATTGCTGCCTCTGAATCAGTATTTTTCAATGATATTGTTCAGGTCTTCTTTGAGACATGATAATAAGACCTTCTAAAGTGAAGTACTACTGATGGAAAAATTACTAGAATCTAGACAATTCTGTAACAAGTTCCGGATATTTAACCTAATTTATTATATACAGTCTGTCCTTCTGGGCGCTGGTGACCAGGTTTAATGCAGCCTCTTGGTAGCTCTGGATCAGCACAGTACCTCATCACTCCAAAAAAATCAGTGTTGAAGAATAATGTGCTGAAGCTTGGGAGCGATGTGCTGGTTTCCCGGGGTGTTACGGACTGCCGCTTGACTCGGGGCAGCCTCCATCATCCTTGCACTGGTACCATCTGGGTGCCTTTTTTACTGGCACTGTATTTGTATTTGCTATTTTAATGAAAGTTCCTGAAGGTCCTGTATCCTGAGCTAGAAGCAATTCCCACTACATGATTCTAATTTAGTTTTTGCTTCTATGATGGCTCATTTAACACATGTAAAATGCTACAAAAACAAAGGTTTCAATTTTCTAGCAGAATGTCTAATACTGGCTCTAAYGCCTTCTCCCAGCTCCTCCTAAATATCAGGAGGATATTGGCCCTGTCGCCATGCTCTGCTTGCTGCAGTGTCAGGTTTGTAGCCCGTATTTTCACCTGTTATATAATAGYGTGTAATTTTAACAGTTGCCTTTACGTAACTGTCAGGAAGTGTGTGTGCGCTGTCATCTCCTTTGATTGTTTGAGCTGATGAGCTTAGAAAACAAAGGTACAGACACACRCTCTGCTGCTTTTCTCAAAGCGGGGCTTAGCTGAGCACAGATTCGCGGGGGGCTTCTCAGGGTGGGAATGTGTGTGAAATTGGGCAGCAAAGGGAAAAGGAGAGAGCTGAGCAGATGCGGCTGGGCCTGCAGGTGGGTCGGTAAGGTGGGGAGAGGTGAGCGCGGATGGTGCCCTCTGCGAGCGGGGTCCTGCTGGAGGGACAGCCTGCGTGCCCTCCTGGAGGCCGCGGGAGCTCTCGGCCTGCACAGAACCTCCGAGGGGGTTTTCAGTCCGCGTTCAACCTGTGCAAGCAGAAGAGCCACCTGCAGTCCTTCCGTGTGGCGCCTCCGTGGCTGCTCTTCATCAGCTRCATGTGTGTCCCCCTTGGCTAAGGTTCCCATCATGGGTTGTCCCCCAGCGCTCTGTGCCTTGCAGACCCGTATCCCAGCCCCACTGATGCCCTGCGAGCCTCCCAAGGCTCTCTCCTTTTTCCTTTGCTGCCCAATTATTGCCCATCTACGTTAGGGTTTTGCCATCTGCTTTGTAAGAGCCCGTCTGGATCTTCACAGCAGCTTTTAGCATATTCAGTAGTTTTTAATATTCTTAAAATACACAGGAGGAACTAGGAAAGCGTGTACAAGTGTGAAGTGCTGCGGTGGTTTCCGCTTGTAGATGTGAGTGCCCTTTGTTGCCTTCAGTGGAGCTGACCCAGATCAGCTCCATCTTGGTTTGCCCTGTAGCTGCTTGTTATTTTTTATTAAAAGCAAGATGAGCGTAGATCTGATCCATGCAGAACATAAAGCACTTCATGTACTGCCACATGGAAAAAAACTATTAATAAAGCTGGAAAAGACAGGAATAGTTTCACAGATTATAGAATGGGCTACTTAAAGAATAAATAATCATATAGAGGACAAATAGCTTTTGAGATGCATTGGAAAGAAGTTACTGGTTATGTATCTTGAGTGATTCTTGGTGCTCATCTTGTTTAATGCAATGTGAGCAGTCCTGGCACAAGAAAGTAGTACCTAAAAACACCATTAATGATGTAGAGTTGGGAGGTTGAAGATAACATGCAGCAAGAACCAGGTGTCCTTGAAGGCTACAGTCGAAGAATCAGGATGAGCCTCATCATAAAAAAAMCCTGCAATATCACGTGCTTGGAGAATAAAGTGCTTCTGCTGTAATTGCAGCCTTGTGGAAGGGAGGCGGGGGGATATTAAGATGTTTTTGCTGATCTTCGGGTGATGGAGATGCCAACATAACGTGGCTGTGAAAAAGGGTGGGTAATGGAGGAGCTTAGAAAGTGTAAATGCTCTTGTCGGAGGCACTGGGAACATTTGGTGGGTGTTTCTTTGGAGCAGTTTGCCCAGGAGAGTTCAGAGAGAGCATGAATGGGGAGCTGGCTGCTGAGCATGGACGCGTTTGGCTTGGCTAGTTTACCAGAAGGCCAAGAGTCACTGAGAGCCGTGTCTTGGAATGCATCAGCAGTAAATGGCTCTTCCCCTTCTTTGCTCTTTAAATGTAAGGGCAAAATTGGTCCAAGCCCAAGTGAACAGGCCATTGATAAATTTAGATGGAAGCGAGAGGAAGGTCACTGGCTATCTGAGCAGGGAGACTTTGCTGTTCCTTCTCCTTCTCCTGGAAGGGTGTGAAAAAAGCAGCTGGCTTTAAAAATAGCGGGCTGCCCCTTCCCTGCTGCTTTCCTCAAATTTCCTCCCTCCCTTTTTGAGGGAAAACTTGAAGAATTTATCAACTTCTGGCTGTGAACTGGTAGCAAATAAAGAGGATCACAATTTTATGATCCAATGACAGATGCTTTTGTAAAGGGTTTCATAGAAACATGCTTTTCACATAGCTCTTAGGTGAGGAATGGAATTTCCAGCCAAATCAAAAGACCCACATTTGACATAGCAAATCATCTAGCAATTAGGGCAGTTACATGGGACTGATCTTTTCCAGAAGCCCCCAGTAGGCTCTGAATAAATGTGGAAATGGTTTGGTTTCATTCTGAACAAAGTAGGAATTTTTGAGTTTCCAATCTAGCGTCCATTTGCATAGCATCCGTTTGGTGAATAATTTGTGTCCATGTGGCTTTCAAGTATTGATCTAAAAATGTGAGTGCCAGCGACATTGCTGCTGTCAGGCCCTCTGTACCTGCTGTTCACATTCAGTGAATGGAGCTCAGCAGCRATCATCTGGCATTCAGCAATGGCTTTGGCACTATCACTTGGGAAATAATGATTTTCAGATGAGCTTATAGATGCACTGGGCAGAGGAAGCTGTTAAATCTGCAGGTCTGGAGASCTTCCATAAGCATGGGATGGTTTGGACTTCCCAGTTAGCTCTGACGCTTTTAAATACTTGAAATAACARCCATTTGTCTGCTGCAGGGAAAAAAATACAGTTACTCAGTGCCACATTGCCCAATTCTGTTTGGAACAGTTAGCTTTAAAATAGTCAGTTTGCAAGCACTTATTTTGGACTAATATTTGATTGCTGCAAGGTGAGTTTAAAATTTGTGTGAGACAGTTTCCTGCCTTCCTCTTCTCGTAGCTTTAAAAGGCATGTGGTTGTTGATGACCACGGACTGTGTGCAGAATAAAGACTGCACAGCCAGAACACATCCTGCTTATTGAAGGAGGCAGATTGATTTGGCTCTTCTTCATTTCTAGYAAATGGGATCATTGTCTATTGCTTTTATAGTGCAAACCCCCTGCAATTGGTGCCGATGAATTTTGCCACGCAACGTTAATAGTACTGGTGCATGCAAGTAATCCCATTCTTTTGTACTAGCAGTAATTGCAGTATGTGCAAGTGTCACGTTTAATTTTCAGATTGATCTTAACTTTTTGCAACATCTAGTGACATGTTCATCTATTTTCCTTTGCTTATTTTTACTTTGTTGTCCAATCTTCAAAACACATTCTATGAATTGCATGGTAATTGCATATCCAGTATGATTTGCAAAAATGTAGAGGTTCTAAATGATCACTGTGATTAAAGAATATTCCTGGTAAATGAAATATACAGCTCTCTATCTTGAAGTGACTTTAGTAGATTAATCCTATCCTCCCAAAAAGGAGAGCTTTATGAATTCCTAATATTTCTTCTAAAGCAATTCCTCTCTACCCAAATGCACCTTTCATTTCTTTGCTCCCTGAACAGGGTTATTTTCTATTTAAATAAATTCCATCATGATTATGATGTTTGGATTGAAAGAAATGCATTTCTCTTACAGAGGCAAAATTTGTAAGACATTTAGCCATAAACCTGGTAGCAAAGCTTCCACAATTATTTTTGGAAGAGAAATAGTTGTGCTTGATAAAACAAATAAGCATGAAACTTGTAAACTCTGTAGAGGAAATTTCCATCCCAAGGCTTGATGCTTAAAGTTTAAAGCATTTGACTTTGCCTGCTCATACAGTTTGTCTCAGGAACCATCAGCAATACTGTGTGTACAAGCAAGGAAAATGCCTGCTTGTTCCTAAGGATGCAGAAGGGGAGAAAAAAAGATTTTTTTGAGATTTTTTTTTTCTTCCCAGCTGCTACTTTTATCTTAAGGTTGTACAACAATCATTTCAATGTCTGTATTTCTCAGCTCTTGTAAGTGTATCATCAGAGGACAACAGTGCATAGTTACCAATGCTAACACAGTGTGCTTGGGGGTTTTCTTCTTTCTTACAGTGATGCTACAGCCTTTTGACTATGATCCTAATGAGAAAAGTAAACACAAGTTTATGGTTCAGTCTATGTTTGCTCCAGCTGATACTTCAGATATGGAAGCAGTAGTAAGTATTGATATTTAATTAAAACAGATTTCTTTCCAATTATGACCTTTTACTGCATTGTTTAAGTGCTGTTGTAAAGCTACACTGGAATTTTCCTTGAAAGCTTTTGCCAGATTTAAGTCCCCGTGGAAAGAGAGGTGTTTTCTGTTTTTATTTGTAGCGCCGTGATTCTGTGCTGTCACAGCACAGAAGACTTGGTTGATCCCTGTGATCATGGAGTCATTATGGTTGGAAAAGACCTTCAGGATCACCAAGTCCAACCCTAAAGCCTTCAACACCRTACACTGCTAAACTGTGTCCCTAAGATTGCGTCCTTAGAACTATTAGTTGGTGGGATACCGTGTCCTGGCGCACATTTATTTAAGTACTTGTATTTTTAAAAAAACAAGTATAAATACATGTGATTTTGTAAAACTAAAAGCTATACATTTTAAGGAACTGATCTGTGCAATCTCTTAGATTTTATCTTATCTCTCTTTCCTCGGTTACCTCCCTTGAGCAGCTTCCTTTTCCCAGTGGGAACCAACAAAAATACGGTGTTTTTCTTTGCCTGTGTGTTTTACAGAACTGCTCTCATAGATATTGCCCTATGGGCTACACATGAGAAGAACGAAAGCAGATAGGGGCTGAGGCAAAGGACAAAGACCTAGAAATAAGATTTCTGGCTCCTTTAAGATAACTTGGAAATAAAAGGCAGCAATATGTCAGCTGCGGCCTTTCCTGTAGGGGCAAGATTTTTGTTACTGCGAGAAGGCATGAGAACTTTCTCTGATCTGGCCTTTAGTAATTTGAGAGTTCTCCGTAGCTGATGAGGACACAATAAAATGCCTATTGCTCTCTGAAGCATGGGTTAATGTGTGTGCTTGTATGCATGCATGTAAATATTGGGGGAAAAAGCCCAGAATATGTGTTACTGCTTTTCTACAGTAGCCTTCTCAGTGTGCATCTTCCAGGCAGCTCTTCAGAATTTAAGCAGACTTTTCATTTAAATTTGTGTGAAGAAACCTACATAATTCAACAGGACCTTTTGACTAATTCCACTGAGAATGGCAGAATCTTGTATGTGTTCCCACTGCTGAGTCCCTTTTAAAGAGGAGAAAGACAATCTTTCAATAGAAGCCTGAAGAATTCACCCTTTATGACGTATTTGGTTTCATGGCATAGTAAAACATCCAAAGAACAAACTAAGTGGCTTTTCTGCTCTTTTTGAATACATACATGATCATATTAATTGTTACAAAATGTTATTACTGCAGTTGGCTTCATTTTTGACCTTCATATGCTCTGCTTCATGACGAGCTAACATTTCTTTTCCCTGCTTTTAAATGTGGGAGGTGACATGAAGATGTGGGTTGCTTTCCAAAGTAGAAGTTGCACGGTAGTTCAAGCATAGATTTGGGGTTTCTTTTGTTTGTTTTTAATAGATATATTGAAGTTTAGAATTCAACTTCTGGGGTATGCTTGTGAATTAATGTTTTTTATTAGATACACTAGAAAACTTTATAGTCGACTTCAGTGTTGCATAGCTTGTATTTCTCTAAGAAGTATGTCCTGCTGGAASAGTGTTACATCTTTTAAAGCTTAGACACTCTGCAGATTTAATTTACAAAGAACTCTCTCTTTTTAGAGAGATCTGTGGAACTAGACTTGTCTAATATACGTCAAAATAAGGTCCAATGGGAGAGACMCCAGTAGTGCAATATAGAAAGACTAGTCTGCAACTCTTTCTACTTTTTAATTCTTGTGAATTACTTCACACCATGAAAAATCTTCTGTTAGCAAAGAATATTTTTTGGACCTAAATGATCCTTTCAATTTTCCAGAGCTTTCCAAACCGACGTAATTATTTTTCCTTTACCACATTTGATCAGTTCTTAGTTTTGCTACCATTCTCTGAGTATCATCCTATTCTGGATAAACAGGTGAGACAAATCACTGGAGTGCTATAAAGCTTTCAGCACTTCACAGGCAGCCAACAAGCTCAAAATAGCCCTGTGACCTCGGCTGTGGAAGAGCTGGAGTGCTCTGCAGCTATTCAGGATGAGTCAAATGCTTGAGGTTGCGCTGGGGTTAGCCATAACTTGACACCTACTTGAGATAAGCTGAGCAATACCTTGCTGAACAAAGTACAGCCAAAGTAAAGCCAAAGCCTATGAAAACTCCAAAAACTCGTGACCTCTTCTTACTAGATATCACCACTATGAAGCAACCTTTTCATTTCAGGGTTACAGCTAATAGCAAGGTATTTATAGCTGTGARTCCTTTTTATTTTTAATGGCAGACTCCCTAATTGAAAGAGGAGRAGAGGGGAGCTTATCTCTTTTGCATGCACCACGTTTGTCATTGTTTAGAAACAGATGCTGCAAAAGTAAAACCGAGCCTGTGAGTCGTGGGTGTCCTTGCAAGGACCAGGCATCTCCCTGGCCAGTGCAAAATGAAGAAGGGGAGGAACAGTCCTGTAACCTCTACCAGGCAGGAGACAATGTGAGAGCCTCACTTGAAACTGGAGAGGCTTGAGTAGCTACTCCAGCTAAACAAGGATTTGAGAACTAGCCCTGTAGAGCTGAAATACTGATTTTAACTTTTCCCTTCCTTTGATTGCCCTCCTCCTACCCTATTCTTTTTTGGCCTGGACCATAGCTCCCCCTGTCTGCACTGATTGCTCTGAAACAGATCCAAGCATTCCTATAAATTTAAGTATGCAATTTTGAAACTATTTAGAATGATGTACTCTGTATTTTCTGTCCTCTTTAAGGTGCAACTCAAAGAATTGCATGAAAAACAAGAGTTGCTTTTCATTTTTGATCATGTATGTTTTCATTGGTAACATGCTAAACACCTATAGAGCTTTTCTTGAATAAAGTGATGTGATTTGTGTATGCATTATTCTGTGTTTTCCTTGTGTCTTAATAAATCATTGTTTAATGCTTAATTTTTAAAGTGGAAAGAAGCAAAACCAGAAGAACTCATGGATTCGAAACTTAGGTGTGTGTTTGAGCTACCAGCGGAAAATGATAAGCCTGTGAGTATTTTCAGCTGCGTGTGGAGTGAGTTAACTTAATACCACAGCTAATGATATTAGCTAGAATGGCATGTTTATACAGGCACCTATATAAGCGAAAGACAGAGCCCTTTGTTTCACTATCTGGATGGCCATCACCCTTTGAAAACAAAGTAAAGCTGTTTGAAAGCTTAGTGATGCTTAGCATAACTAGCAGCTAATTTGAACAAAGCCAGTGTAACAATCAGGAAAAATCTTGGAGTTGAGCAAAAAAGAGATGCATAGAATAAAGAATATTCAATTAAAAGTATTTTGAAATATGCTCATTGATGTTCCTAAAAGCTCTCTCTCTATGTCATAGCAATTATAACCATCAGCAGTACAAACTTGCCTATCCAACACTGTTCCCTTCCCTTTCCTTCCTTGACAGGATGCTGATTTCAGCAGGTAAAGAGTGGGAAAACTCCTTGGGAAACACAAATGCAGTTGSGGGTAACTGCAGTTATTGCGCGATCCTTGTTAGGGCCGTGAGGGCACTGATTAATTTCTAATGGAAGGATGTAGTAGCAAGTGCAGGACGGATACTGAACGGAGCAAACCTGGACATGTGCTTTGCTGGGAGGGTGCTGAGGGCACAAGTGTTCTTCCTTGTGCAGAGCAGTTTGTAATTAGAGTTACACTTTGGTAAAATGGCCCARGTGTAGGTGCAATGGGTCTCACCTAGCTGCTCCAAACAGGGAATGTTTGCCCTGAAGTGGCTGCTTTTGTTCTAGTTTATTTTCCATGTGTCCAATTTGAAGATGTAATGAGGAAGGAAAAATCTCAATTATATGAAATTTAACAGCTACTGTATTTGGGAACATCGATTATAACAAAAAAAATACACAAATAATAAGCAAGTTCTGTTACTTTATTGATGAAATCCTTTGGTTAACGCTTTGGTGCTATTTTTGCTGAAGAAAGAGTGGTTTGTTTTTCTTAACTAGAGTTGATTCCTCTCTATCTTGTAGTACACAATATACAGGGAATCCCAAAAGAGGAAAGCAAAGAGGTTTTGGAGCTCTGCAGCTGCTGTCCCCTCCCTTGGGTTGAAAGCTCCTCCTTCAGTGCAAGAGCACAGGGAGACACAAAGGTGGTGGGAAGCAAAGAGTGGGCAAAGTGCAGCTGGTGGCTCCTGGCAATCGCCTCCTCCTCGGGTAGCTCCTTGCTTGGGAAGAGACAATCGAGGAGAGTCCTGGTGCTACATTAGCAGACTGAGAAGCTTTGGGGACACAAAGCCAGGAGACCCCGTGGGGCTCAGGTTTCCATTTGTGTTGCAAGGGATGCTCTGCAGACAGGTCCGTTTCCATGTGCAGAAGCTCAAATGAGGGCTCRTTCTGGCTGCACTTAGTGCTCCTGATGTAGTGGTTACTGTGAAACAGGAGGGGGAAGTAAAGGTTGCAGAAATTAAAACTGTGTTTTTCTTTTAATACAGGCGTGTTTCAGGTGTGCACAGGCAATCTTACGTGATTGTCCTCCTGAATATCAGGTGTGTGGTGTGGAGTGGTGTTAATAACTAACTAACCAGAGATCACTCTGTCCTTTTTTAACAGCATGATATAGAAATAAATAAAATTGTATCCACAACTGCAACAAAGACAGATTCTTCTGTAATGTCTAAATCAATAAGTTCCTCTTTGGATGACATTGAAGTTAAGAAAGTAATGGAAGAATATAAGAGGCTTCAAATAGAAGTTCAGAGGTTACGGGAGGAGAATAAACAGTTTAAGGTAAAGATTATTTTTTTCTTTTTTCAGATATACTTCTTTCCTGAAAAGATGCTTGAGGCTGAAAGGTTTGGTTACATGAACATGGTACAATAGTTTAATATTGTCTATAAATCAAAAGAGAACTTGGGTTTCTTTCTATAAATCTAGGGGGAAAATGTGCTGAAATCAGTGTTACCTTTGAAAGCAGCATAAAACTCATGCCGTCAGAGAGGCTGATTGAATAGCAGCCCAGAGTGGTGGTTCTCTCTCTTTATTTTCCCACCTTATTTTCTCTGTCAGAATGAACCATTCATTGTTAGCTTTGGCCCTGTTCTCTCAAACTGATGGGAGCTTGAGGACAATCTTGTGCCTGTACTGAATATTCAAATAATTGTGCCTCTCATATGCATTAAAATGACCAAAGTAACACTTATGAGCAGAAAATCTGCTTTCTGCTCTATCCAGCACATTACGGTGAAACCAAGTAAATCAGAAGCCTTTATGACCATGCTGCAATTCCCTTTTGCAGTATTTCCAGTTGTGACTAAAGTTTAATTTCATAGATAATAGCAGCAATGAAAACCTAAAATCCATGGCTAGTTTGGCCCCGTGAAAGAAACTCGACGTTCTGTCAGCTGTGATGCTGCTTGTCTGGCTGGAGCATGAAAAAGATTTAAACACTTCTAAACCAATCTTGTTTTGCACATAGAAATAATCTGGCTGAGATGCAAGCTTGAGTTCTCTTTGTGCTCGTTTGGTAGTGGCTTACAGAGCTATAAATGCCATGTGTTGGGTGCAGTGGTGTGTTTATTTTTTCCTCAAAATAGTCTTGAAGTCCTCAAGAGATATCTGGAATTGAGTTGAATACTTAAAATAATCTTTTAAAAYTGTCAGCTCTTGCTCCCTTTGTGAAGTGTCAGAAATGTGCGTAAAATGTCCAAAAACAGTATGTTTATTGACTGCCAGCTACCAGGAATTGCGGATTAATAACAGATTAAATTAATAACAGATTAAAGGCATAGTCGAAATTAACATGCTTTTCAGAGCAAGTATCATGTAGCTGAGGAGCTTTTTACTCTTTGCAAAAGTCAATTGTTCCCTACCCACGTTCCTAGCAGCAATGAGATACCAGGTAACCTGTGACTCTTAATGTTCTCCTCTAAAGTTAGGTGCTCATTTGAATTCAAACATGAGCAACACTGATGAATATTGACCTCTTTTTWAAAAAAAAGGAAGAGATATATCTTAACCTATATTTAAAAGCATTTTCTCTAACAGCAATATATCCACATACAGAGCAAGATGAGCATCTTCATGCCATTCCATTCTTTGGTGTTTTTGCAGTCCTGGAGTTTTCTGCAGACTTTGGACATGTGTTTTATAGACCTCCTTGTCACTTAGTCCAGAGGAGGAAACTTTTAGAGCATGTGGTTTGTGTTTTGCCAGCCGAGTAGATACAAAGCCGCTGTCCTACCTCACTACCCTTTTCTGCCCAGGTTTTTCTTACTTAAATAAGTTAGCCTCACATAGGCACTCTCCTGTTGCTGTATGCACACTTGGCTTGGGAAACCCTGATTCTTTTTTTCTAAARAAATAATCTTCATACCTTCCTTTAGGAAGAAGATGGACTTCGGATGAGGAAGGCACCCCAGACAAACAATCCAATATCTGCTTCTGCAGCTGCTGTCAAGGAGGAAGGGCTCAGCTCTAGACTACTTGCTTTGGTGGTTTTGTTCTTTATCTTTGGTGTAATTATAGGAAAAATAGCCTTGTAGAGGCAGCATGCTGGGAATTGTAAATTGGTTTGATGGTTCTGCCATATCATTGGATTAAATTTATTCATAACAATGTTTAAAAAGATTAATGTATGACATCTCACAGGTCTTGCCTTCAAATTACCCCTGCACAAATATTATGTAACATAATCTAGAAAGTTTAAAATGTACGATGGGTGAATGAAAGAGAATATTCTTCAGTGATGAACGGGGGGGAGGGGGAAATCATGATTTAACACTACAATGGAATATTGTATATGTCATTTTAAACATTCTTAGGCCCTGGTACATGTTGCTGGATTACCTCTTTTTAAAAAAAGCAAAACAGAAAAAAACTCTTCCTCCACTGCTGGAGCTGGCCCTATTGAATGTTTGGAGCTGGGTTAGGCAGGAGGTGTTGATAACTTCTGTAAAATATGTTAATCCACCATTCTGCTCATAAATTTAACAGTTTCTGTCAGTGTCTTCAACTCTGTGCAAGTTACCGATTTCTTGGCACTTAAATGAATAGTGAGAAGCTGAAAAGAATTGTACGTGGCAATGCTGAATGTGCTAGGCATCATTAAGAGGCATATATTGACTGGTATGACGCTCATTCGGAATAAAGGTCAATGCCTTCTTCTCATAAAGGGACCAAGCTACATTGCTGTTGGTTCATTTAGCTGAATTAAAATGTTATTCAGAGATGTTTAATGCATATTTAACTTATTTAATGTATTTCATCTCATGTTTCCTTATTGTCACAAAATTGACTAATACTCTATGGTATAAAAGGCACCTGTTTTAAGCCAGTGACTAGAACTAAAAAATTTGCTGCTGTAGTGATGCAAGATTCTTCTGCCTCCTGGTGTTTTGGGCACTACACAATTGTTGGAGTTTTGATCATCCGAGCATTGGAGAAACAGTGGTCAGGAAACTGTTTTTGTATGTAAATAAGTCTATCTAGGGGAAAAAATATTAGTAGTAAACTAGTTCTATGCCGTAAAAAGACCAATCCCGTTTGACTATGTAGCAACAAAAAAAAAAAAAAAAAAAAAAAAAAAAAAAAGGAAAGAAATTAAATAAAGCCCCCAAATTCAAGTTTCTTTTGTTATTTTTGTCATGTTCTCAACAGCTTTAGACGGGGGAAAAGAACAATGTTCTCTACCAACTTACTTTGCTTATGGCATCAGGAAACTGTCAGTCTTAGATCAGGATGATTTTTTTTCCCCAGCATAATTTTAATCTAAAATCAGCTCCATTCAATGCCTGATATACATAAGCGTTGTTCAGAATAATCATATCAACTGCTATTGTACTTAAATAATGTCCCATTTTTCCCTTTGTTTGGATTCAGTAGTCGATACAGTTGGTAGTATATGGAAAGTGAGACCGATAGTTGTGTTTCTAAGCATACTTTTATTACAAAATACATAAACTCAATATCGTTTAGCATGTTGAATTTCAGTAGACATAGTTTTTCGAGCAAGTAACTCCCCATATATTTGTAGATGTTAGATTCAGAAACCATTGGTGACATGCCAGTCTAGTGTAGCATAGCAGAGTTTATAGAGCACTCTTGAGGATTAAGATACATCTTCAAAATGTGGCTTTTTTCCTGCATAATTCCTGTGATTCTTGAGGAAACTGTTGGGGCTGCAGTCTGTCTACTACTCTGTGATTGCATCAGTGACTTTTATATTTATTTCACGAGAGTCTCAAGGGTTTCCTGTTTTGCAAGTGCAACTAAGCAAAATTTTGTGTGAGGTTTAAAAAGAAAATGGAAAAAAATAAGCCCTCCCTAGTGTGTTCAGCGTACGAACACAACTCTGTGGAAGCTTCCTCTGGAAGAGCCAACAGAAATGAGTTTCTTCAGCATTTGGAAATGTTAGTGCCTTGTCTGCTCAGGATGGAAGGGACAAAGCAATTCAAGTCTGCTTGTAAAGGGCAGAGAAGACGGGAGACGAGCTGGAAAGAAGCAGTGAGTTCAGCGTGACAAATTGGGCAGAACTGATCAAGAAAGATACTTGCAGGGCATTAAAAGCTAATCGAAACTTTTACAAGCAGCATTTAAAAAGGAACCTTTTCAAAAAGATAAGGTTGGAACTGATATTGTAAAATAGGTTTTCATGGTTTTGAGGCGTACTTTTTGAGAAAATCTTGTCTAAAGGGAGTAAAGAGAGACAGACTGTTTTTTTTTTTTTAAGCTATAAACATTTTGACCTCACTAAAAATATGTTGTCTGAAGAACAGAATCCCTTATTTCCTTAATAATAATACTATTTACTTTTCTGGGAGAACTTTGTCCTGCTGAAAAACAGCCCCATTGATATTTTTTTCAAAAAAAAAAAAAAGTCAGTCTTTGCAGGGTAAAGGTGGAAGGTGGAGGCTTTAACCTGGTCTCCTGTGGGCCGTGTTCATGTCACACGTGGTTAACTACCACGCAGGATTCTGCTAGCAAGGGCAGCTTCTAGGTGAAGGAAGCCAGCAGAATGTCCTTGTGCCCTTTGGTGTTCAGTAGTTGCGCTCCGTGATCTGTGAACACTTGGAACTTAAGTCATTTGAGAGCAAATTCGTGTCTGTGTTTAGCATTCCAGGAGTACATARAGATCTGCTGTATGCCTTACAAATGTGATTGAGAGTCCACCCAAAAGAAGACCCTAGTTTAAATAGGTAGCTGAGGAGGTGCTGGTAATGTCTGCAGCTGAGGCTGACCCACAGTGTCAGTCCTAAACCAGACTGTTAAATTTAGCTTTTATATTCTAGGGCTTAGCAAAGTTCTGAGGCCTTTCCCATTTTTGACAACAGCTGAAGCAGATAGTAGCACCGAATTTTCTGGATAATGTTTTGTTTTCATTGAGCTTAAAACAAGGTGGATGATCAGTGGGAACCTTTTTCCYTGTCCACTTGACCAGACTCTTCTTTCTTAAGAGGCAGAAGGGAAACTCTGGATGTTTTCTGGCAAGGTGCTTAAAAAGTTAGTCTTTGGGTATTGCCAAAATCACTTCTCTTTTGGGTATGTGTTCTTAAGCCACTGGGATTTTTGTAAGTTGTACTTTATGTGATGGTACCAGAGCAAATACTTTCATTGGTGTTCATAGGAAGTGAATTATTCTGGAGGGCATTATGTAACCTAGGAAGCTATGCATGAAACAGAGTTTATAAATAATATTATTGTCTGGTGTTCTCACGTGACACCAGGTGCTAGAAAACAATGTATAATTGATACATGATAGTAGAAATCAAGTTATTACTTAATCTAATGATTGCTCTTGTCATTCTTTTCAGGTTGCTACTTGCATCTACATGTATTGTTAATTTTTATAAGAGCCCATAGAGGCTTCTTAGGTAGTCTTCCCTTTCTGGATATTTGCACTCTTGTCTGTCCTTCGGGCCCCCTGTAATGAAAAGGCTTCTAAAATGTCATGAAAACCTAATAATGGGAAAAGAGCAGAAAACAGTTTCTACAGTTTTCACAGTTGCCCACATTTTAAAGGAAATCTTTTGTGCATGAATGGTAATAACTCTTGCTCTACACTGGCAGTCATCAAAAGTGAACGCACAACCGTAGCAAATGCACAGGCAGGCTGAGCACCCAGTTTGGTGTGGTTGGTGAAGAGCATTGGGSATCAACGAGCAAGATAATAACATGTATGTAAAATGGAGAGAAATTGATGATTGATTGATTGCCATAATGTAATTCTCTAAAAATATGGGATTGTAATTGCTTGACAACAGTATTCCATGCTACTTTTTTTCTCCTGAAATGCTGTTAGTGGGATAAAGTTGGAAACTCACTTTGCAAATTGCTAGAGGTTTTTTCTCACCAATAAACTATAAAGGGTTTCTGTTCCCTGCACACGTACCCTTGCAGTTCTTATTACAGTTCTCATTTATCAGTCAGGATATTTACATGATGGTCCATAGTTGTACACCTCTGATGCTGGGTTTTTACTGTCTTTAATGTTGTAGTTGCCTAATGTAAGAAAACTCTATACATATCATGCCTTCTTCTTAGAAAATATCATTTTCATCTCTCAATTGGAACACCTCCTTAATTCCTAGGCACGATATCGACTTAACTCTAGTATTTTAAGCTTTTGAAGTATAGTTATTATGCTAAACACGGTGTCCTGAAATGCCATATCGCGAGTCTTGTTCTGTGCACAAGGACACCGAGGTAAAACCACAACCAAAAATCCTTCTGTTTGAAAGCAAAGAACATGTAAAAGGAGCACTCAGGGCTTCCCAGAGTTYGTGGTGGCTATCACAGCTCCAGGAGCACCTCATGGCAGCGCTAAAGCTGCTTGAGGCTGGAGAGCCACTTCTTGTGACGCTTCAAACCGGGTCAGCATCCCTACTCCTGTCCTCCAGGTGAGAGCAGACGAGCGGTGAGTGAACTGCGTTCGTTTTCTAGTAGAAGAATAAGGACAGCAGCCCRGAAAATGCAGGAGTGGGTGGATGGGAGGGGAAATGAGGACGGAGCTTAGATCATTCAACTGCATAAAATTGCACACAGGTAGCTAATGAAGGTGTTCCACAYGCTGCTCGGCCTGTGCAGATCGGCCTGAGGTCGGAGCATCTGGTAGTTAATCAGAARTGAGTCTTTGAAAATCTTTGAGAAATCATTAGTACATTTCTATACTGCTAATACATTCTTTGGCCCCAAACCAAACAGGTGAAACATCYCACTGTAATACCAGGTATGTTTTCCTTAGGATATGTACTCTTTGGTGTCTCCTTTCAAAAAGAATACCAGGTTAGAAGATGAATTATAACAAATTATGCAATGCTTACGTCTTGAAGTGTGCACATTTGTACAAATTTCAGGGAACATATCTGACTTTTTTATGATTCAGAAACACTAATATAAAAAAAAATCGGTATAGGGATGAGTTTAGTTCCATACTGTATGGACAAGTTATCCTTTGTAATCAGATACCTGCCTATAAATTAACTTATTAGAAAATACTTGTATAAACCAACATTTAGGCATTTTAGAAAGGAGGTTCAGAGCAAGACTGCTGGTTTGTATAAAGTGAAACCTAGCTGGTCTGTAGATTGAATTGATTAAAAGATAACAGCAGAGTATAATGCTGGTGTAAATCATCTGTTACTGCTATATAAATAGAGGGATTTACTGTTAAAGCAGAGCGATGCAGATCCTTTGAGCATGTCCAGTTAATATTTCTTTATGTTATGCTGACAGCTTCATGCATTCGTTATCACTTTGTCTAATGGGTGTCATGCAGAATTGACCCTGTTCATTGTACTGTTTTTGGCTTTTGTTTTGATCAGCTTCAAAGAAAAAAGTAACTACTCAAAACTGCTTAACTATAAAGTTTGTTTTGTTAATGGGTTGATTTTTCTTGTTCGATAAATGAGGGTTGTCTTTTAAAATAACACTGGTAAGAGCCAGCCCAAAATCCTCCATGTAACCCTGTAATAAGCATTTCTTTACACACTTCTGAAATGAATGTGTATCATTAACTCCATCATTTCCTGGGGCTTCCATTTCTTTCACAGAACAGCTTTGAGTTTTTTCTTTTTCTTTCAAGAGTAAAACTTCGAAAGCTACTAAATTTTCACGTCAGATCTCACTACCTCCCAGTTTAGACCTAAATTTATCCTGACGCTTCTACGTGAATGAGACCTACAAGAAAGGAGTCTTGARTGCAAAAACAAGGCTGTTATTCCCTGAAACAAACTTGAACTTTGCATCTTTTCTGCTATGATCTGCCAGTAGAAAATGGCCTTTTCCAGATGGCAAAACAAAAGAAGTTAAGAAAACAAATTAATTAAGTATTAATTGAAATTGCATTTTACAAACTGACATTATACCTTTGGCATTTCTGCTCATTTATGCATCAGTACATTTCATTCTTATTAAATAGGAACTTACTAAATAAGTTCCTAACTTTGTGATCTTTTTTTCAAGCTTTCAAAGCGCCTATGAAATACTGAAGAACAGTGTGCAGTATTGTCCCCAGTTTAGATATACTTGTTTTTTATCAAATCTTTCAGTGGAGAAACAAGATGAGAAAAACATCCTTCTGTTTCAGTWGGCAGAATTCCCACAAGCAATTATCCATACAAAACTGCTTCTAAAAGAGCTTTGTTAAGGCAGTACAAAGTTGAGCATTCAGGAGTTAGGCAATGGCAGAACCTACTTGGCCTGGGCACTGTTAACTCGGCTGCTTCACCTGACTATGTTGCAGTATCTGAGCAAACCAAGGCTGCTCCAAAGGTGTTTAGGACTGCCCAGCTTTGGTGAACAAGTCTGGCACATCCCCACTTTATTCCTTGTGCTCTTCAAGTCAATCCAAGTTGACCCATCCATCTTCCAGCACTGCACCTTGGCAAGGAAACTGAGTCTCACCTACGCTATTGAAATGGCATTTCTTCTCTGTTGTTCAAAGTAAATACACTTTGGATCTTGGTCTCCTCTCTATGGCTGTCCTCCAGTGTTGCTCTTCCCTGTCTCCTCTGAATGTAAGTCAGCCTTTGAAGCAGGCTGAAAAACTGAAACCGAGTTCAAAGGCTGAAAGCCTCTTGTGTTAGTGAGGAATATGTCACAGCTCTTGGGACAGTAAAGCCAGGGCTCTGAATGGCAGGAAGGAGCAAGTCTGGGACACGATGCTGCAGAGGGCTTTGCTAGCCAGGGCTCTGCTTTGGTTTCCCTTCCCCACGACAGAGCAAAYGCTCCTCGTGCCTGATCCTTCCTACTTGGTGCTCCAGGGCGATGGGCAAGGCCAAATTTGCCGCTCGTGTTAGAAGGGGGTGTGCAGAGGAGCTCCGGTCCCACCTGGCCACGTCCTCCTAGAAGGGCACCCAAAGCCAGCCTGGGCTTTCCTCCCCTAGCAGCTGATGAGGTTGCATCCGCTGGCCCCGTCTTCGTCACCGTCACTCTTAACACCCCCATGTTCCTACACACTGTTGCTGTAGACACCCATACCGCCTTTCCCATCATCATCCACCCTTCCCTCAGCCTGCCCTTGCTCCACGTGGTTGCTCCACTGCGGTCCTGGCTCGTCACCTCTCAGACCGCAGACGTGGTGGAGCACAGTGTGGGCAGGCACCCGGGTTCTCCCCAAGCTGTGGCCCTCCAGGGATGGTTCCCGGCCTGGGGGAGTGTTTAGGAAACTCCCTGTGGCAGCTGTCCCTGTTAATTCTGTATCCCTGTGAATTTTTGACAGCTTTGTCTGTGCTTGGGCTTGATCTGGTAGGACTTTAACCCACAAGCATCCAAAGCTCTCTGCTTGTGGGCTACCACTCCAAAACAAGTGAAAGTGATTTTGACAGGTCCTCTCCCTCCTCRGTCTGTCTGAGCCAACGATAACTTGGTTTTAATAGACTGACTCATACCCTCCTCCTCAATGGTGGTTGTCTGCAGCAGAGCTCCCCTTTAATCCATTTCATGTTCTCTACTTTCACCAGCACCAAGCTCAATGTTCAGATGAAGCCTCTGTGCCACTGCTCTAACTGCAGAAGTGTTACAGATTTAATATTTGTAGGTTATGCGGCACCAGAGAAAGGAGCAATGTTTTCTACAAATTTGGTCAAGAGGATTGATTTCAAGGCCCCTCAAAAGTGTTGTTTTGTGGGGTTTTTGTGTGTGTGTGTTTTTCTCTAAGAGATAAATTAATTGCTCACACATGCTGCTTAGAGAAATGAGCTTCATTGGGGATGAAGAAAAGTAATGAAGCTGATGTTGAACTTCCATGAGCACCAGCCAACCTTGTGCAGGGGTCCATGTACTCATCCTGTTTCAGAAGCAGCCCTTGCCAGAGCTGCCGGCATTGGCCAAGTCGTGTCTTGCAAGCCATAAGCTTCTGAAAAGAAAATTCACAATGGGAAGAAAATCCTAACATTTTGAGAACGTGTAGGAAATATTACACAGATGTACACATAGACATCGCGCTCATAAACACACTTGCATATCCTCCTCTGGGATTAGATATCGGAATAGATACCAGCTCTGGGACTGAGGCGAGGAGGGAGTTGTTTTAGCCAGATGCTCTAGTGTTATTATGACCAGTGTGTTAATAATTATTGTCAGTGACGCAAAGCAATGTAACAAGGGAAATAATTATCCACAAGGATGCTGCAAATCATTCTGGGTTTGAACCAATACAGTTTCTCCAGTCTTTGCAGGAGCTTGTTCTATTTTTGCTTCCTGATCCCAGACAGTTCCCGGAACACGTCTGAGGAAGCAGCTGACCTGAAATACCCTCTCATGACATTTACTGGGTGTTTTGTGTCCTCCCTAGCAAAGGAAAGATGAGGAGAGGGAAAATAGGCTCCAGGAGGAAAAGAATCCTCACCCAAGAGTTGGTGGGGTTCATTGAGAGGGCTTTAAATTAGGTAGAAGGGGAGGGAGATAATAATCTCAAAGGTCTTTTGCAACCATAATGATTCCATGGTTCTGATTCTATGATTCTATGCCAAGGAAGGGACCTGCCATCTCAGGGACTGCTCTCAATGGAGCAGAACAGAGACCCTGGGAAAAGCAGAGGGGATTGTCAGTCCCAGCAAGGCAGAGGGCACAAGAACAGCACCCATGAAGAGTGGAGAGTTACGCATTTTACCCACAGCCAGCTGGCACTGCCCATGTGCACAAA